TCTTGGGGGCATCGCTGGGCCGACTTGGGGCCCTCCCTCTTGGGGCGCTTCAGGGCCGTCTTGGAGGCCATCTCGGGCGTCTGGGATGTCTCCTGGGCCATCTTGGGGCCCTCTTTGGGCCGTCTTGGGGGCCTCTTGGGCCGTCAGGGGGCCATCTCGGAGGCCCCTTGGGCGATCTTGAAGCCATTTTGGTGGCCGCTGGGGCTGTCTTGTCAAGCAGTGGCGAAACGTCATGGCTCAACTATAGGCCCACCAAAGAATGTTCCAAGAAACTTTTACATTTTGTGATCTGCTCGAAGTGTTCATTAGAACATTTCTGGCTGGGACTGTCTTGTTTTAACACATCGGGCTTATGTTCCAAGATTGTTGTTCTTAGGACATTGCTGGGTTCTAAGAAAATTTCGTGGTAGGCTTACAGGAATGCCGGGACGGTCGGTCCCTGCTCAATGTTGGGCCGCTGGAAACCCGGAAACGGGCAAACGCCGCCCAAATCTTTCGAACATTCAAGGACAATCAATGATTTTGGCCTCCTCGGGCCTTCCTGAAGGTCCTAGTGGAGGCCCATTGGGCCGTCTTGGAGGCATCTTGGACCGTCTCACGCCATCTCGAGGCTATCTTGGGCCGTGTTGGAGACATCTTGCAGCCATCTTGGACTCTCTTGGGGCCATCTTGCCCGTCTTGGAAACCATCTCGGCAGTTTTGGAGGCCATCTTGGAGTCGTCTTGAAGGAAAAAATACGGTCCAGACATGTTCGGCGGCGTTGTGGGTCCTTCTGGGTGGTCGGAGGGATCGGCCGATGACCAAAAAACTACCTAACTTTGGACACGCCGTGCACCCCTGTGGCAAGACCACTGGCATGCGGCGCACCCCGCCGCTGTGCCTGGGTTGTAGCTCAGAGACCTCTTGGATGTCTGAGGGGATCTCTTGGGAGACCTCTCGGAAGGCTCTTGGAGGCGGTTATTGGGTGTCTTGGGGTTTGTCGGGGGGCCTGTTACAGACCTCTTTGGGTGTGATTAGGGCTTCTTGAGACCGTCCGACTGCTTCTTGTGGGCCTTTTTGGGGCCTGCTGGATATCTCGGGGGTCATTCGGGCGGAAGGCTCGAAATTTCAGTTCGTGTCTCCTACCCTGGTCGTTTGACGTCTGGGGCTGTCTTCGGGTCCTCTGGGGCCATCTTGGGCCGTCTCGGGCCGATCTTCAGGGCGCTATGTGCCGTCTTGAAGCGCCAGGAAAAACGAAAGGCGAGGACCGCTCAATCCTTCAGAAACCTGCAGAAATCAATGACTTGGGCGTCTTGGGACCCCCCTCGGGGTGCTCTTGGGGCTCTTTGGGTTCGTCTTTGGGGCATCTTGCGCCGTCCTCAGGCCATCTTGGGCGTCTTGGAGTGATCTTTGGGCGACCCGGAACCCTCTTGGACCGCCTCTGGGGCCTCCAGCGGGCCTTGTGGCCGGTATGTTGGCGCCCGCTGGCCTCCAGAAACGTCACGCGACAACACGCCCCAGATTCTGCGAGCCCCTGGTATTTGGTGTTGTGGGTCCCTCTCTCAGCCACGCGCAGAGGGGGGTTGGGGGAGGGAGCCGGCGCCTTCTAAGAAGCAGCCCCTTTCTAAGAAGCCTTCCTCCCTCCCCCTACCCCCCTGTGCGCGCCGCCAACCCTCGAGAGAGTAGTCTCCGTTAGTCTCTACAGAGGACTCTCGGGGACTTGCGAACTGACCGCTCAGAGCCTGGCAGCAGCGTGGCGGGTTTACGTAGCACCTCGCAGTTGCGGATAAAAGTGAGGGGGCGGCAGGGATGTCGGCAGTATGCGAGGCTCTGAAGCAGCCCGCCGCAGTCGCTTCATTTTTGCAAATTATATAAAGAGCTCGCCACAGGCAACGATTTTGTCGTTAAAGCAATGTGGGTGGATCGCGGGGAGGGTCCCGGGTGGGGCGCGGGAGGGTCGCGGAAGGGTCGCGGGAGGGTCGCGGGCCAGATCGTGGGTGGGTCGCGGGTGGGTCGGGGGTGGGTCGCGGGTGGGTCGCGGGTGGGTCGCGGGCGGCTCGCGGGTTGGGTCGCGGGTGGGTCGCGGGTGGGTCGCGGGCCGGGTCGCGGGCCAGGTCGCGGGTGGGTCGCAGGTGGGTCACGGGTGGGTCGCGGGCTGGTTCGCGGGGGGGATGGCGACAACAAACAAGCAAACAACAGCAAACAGCAATAACAAACAACAGCAATAACAACAGCAACAACAGCAGCAACAACACCAATCATTTGAATGTTGTTCGTTCTTATCTGCTCGCGTGCCATTCAACACCTACATCTCAAACCCTCGATATTCGCCCTCTTCGTCTTCGATCGTACCCCCTTGGGGGTAGATGTTTTTCTTACCTGCAACGTGCGTTTCGTGCAGCCCCCAAGGCAGGAGAAGAGAGGACGGATGGAAGGAAGGGACCAGGGGGAGGGGGGAGGATCGAGCACGAGAGAGAGAGTAGCAGGAGGGGGGCTAAGATCAGAAAACACGTGGCAGAACCTGACGAGCAGATCGGGCGGGTAGACCCGTATGGGCGGGTCGGGGAGGCGGGCCCAGGCGGCCAGGTCGAGCAGGCGGGCTGCTGAGCGTTAGCACGATTCCAAAATAAATCGCAGGGAAATCCACAGCGAGGGCGATTTTCGTTAGTGTCGAGGGCGCGACGTCTGAGTAAATTGCGAGGAAGTTCCACATGATAGCGCGATGTTTGAATCAATTGTGGGGAAGTCCCGCGCGAGAGCGCGATTTGGGAAACACCTATGAGGAGGTATCAGGCGGGAACCGCTGTTGTTGTAGAGCCGGGGGCCAGGGTTTTGTTTTGGTGACACATTTTTTATTGTAAAGACAGGTCGTGGGCCCCCGAAGAAGCGCTTCAATGAAAAAATGCCGTGGTTACCGGGGGGATCCACAATAATTATTCCGTAGACATGGAAATTCAACCAACTATCCGCACCGCAGAACCTCACTTCCGCCACGCGCCCAGGGACAGTGAATGACCGTTCGGCCCCCTCACTCTGATAATGTGCAGCGAAGAGAACCCGAAGGGACTTCAGAACGCTCCACTTAGTAATCACCTCGCGGCACAGCGGCGGACCTTACACCACCATAACAACAAGCGCAGCGTGATCTTCACAGCCTGGAGACCGAGACTCCACCATGGGGGGGCGGCCGATTGTCAATGCGTTGTGCTCTCTGTAGCTGATTGCCGCAGTGCTTCGCGTGAGGGCCGAGACGTGCGGACAATCGTTCCATGCGCGGAGTGTCGAGCGCCGGGTGTCCCGTATTTGCTAGGTCTTCAGGGCACAGCATGTTCTGCGACGTCGTGCGATACGGGTGCAATCGGGACAGAGCAGCTCCCTGCCTTCATGCTTCATCCATCCTTGGGCCTCCACCATGAGATCTGATGCCTCAAGGCCGGCTTCATCAAAGCGGCGACTGTTTCCTACGACGATTTCATAGCGTTCGGTGGAGAGGAGCAGGTGGAATGTTTGTGCGCTGTTGGGTGTGAGCAGCATGGTTGATGATTTCTTGCGAGCGATGATTGTGTGAATGGGCTCATTGGCAGTTTGGTCGTCACGTGCTTTATCGGCGCCCGCGTTCTTCGGCAGATTCTTGCGTGACGCCGTACACGTGTATGTGTGTGTGTGTGTTTCGCATGCGTGCCTCATCCTGTCACACTGCAGAATTCGTAAGTAGAGCCCTACGCTGATGTGGGATGTTAATTAACACGCGTTGAAATCACATCGGCGTTGGTGGCATAAAGATGCCGGTCGAAGTCCATCTTCATCGAAATGTTGGCGTTCGCGTTTGAGTCTGCACCATGTCGGGCCAGATTTGGGAACCTAGAGGGACCCAATCGCCTCGCGCGCGGCAGCCTGCAGTGGAGGCCGCGCGCGACGACGTCTGAAAGCGGGGTGCCCGCCAGCCAGCTGCCCAGCGCGGCCTCGAGGATCGACGACGTCGTCAGCGACATCACCACCGACGCCGTCGCCGCGTCGTCCTGGTTTTCGTCGATATCGTTGTTGTCTTCGTCTTCGTCGTCGAGGGCGTCTTCGTGCTTCGTGCCCTCCTGGCGTCTGCCCTCGACGCGCGGTCGCGGCGACACGCCACCCCGCGACCCTTCCCGCGACCCTTCCCGCGGCCTGCCCCGCGGCCCGCCCGGCGACACGCCAGAGACCCGCCGACGATCCGCGACCCCCGCCCGGGCGGGGCGACCCCCACCCGGGGCTGCAAGTCTTCGTGAGCTCTTCGGGCTCCAGGGTCCTTGACAGGCCCCCGGAGACCTCCTTGGGCTTCCGAAGACCTCCAGGGACCTCCAGGGCCCCCTGGACCCTGTGTGGCGCCCCCTGTGCTTCTCACTCCTTTCTCGTGGTTCCGACAGGCAGCGAAGGCCGGCAAGCTCCGCATCGAGGGCAAGACGTACATCGTGCAGGATGGAGATGTGATGCATTTTCGGGTCAACAAGTGATGCGCGCCTGTTTGTTGTTATTATTGTTGCTGGTGGTGGAGGAGGTGGTGGTTGTGTTCCGGAGCTGGGACAGGGGAGTCAAAGCCTGATGTCGAGAAAGAGTTGGGAGGGATTTGGGAAAAGGAGGAAAGCGGAGGAGCAAGAGAGGGGGAGAACGGAGGAGGATGAAGGGGAAATTGTCAGACAGAGGAAGGGATGTTTCCATAGTTTGTTTCGAGAGTTTGCGCATTCTGGGTTCGAACGTTCCCTTCAATTAGGTCTCGAAGGATTTCGGGATAGGAGCGACAGGATGATGTGTAGCAGAAAAGGATTTGGAGGAGGAGGAAAGGACCATGCGCTGCGTAGGGTAACAGCCATGCCCGCCAGAAGCGTGAGCGGCACATGTGTTGAAGGAAAACCTCGCGGGTGCCTTACATTGCGGACGAGCGCGCCAGCCCCCATTGGAGGCCATTGAGGCCGCGCTCCTCGCCGCAGCCCCCTTTGGCTCCGCCGAAGAATATTTCGGTGTAGTGGTTGAGGGGGTTATGGCTGCGTATGGGTTCCCTCCTTATCGCAGTGAACATCGCACGCCCGATGCCGCTCCCCCGACGATCAGTCAGAGCCTCGTCGGCCTAGTGAAAGAAGCATGGCGGGCCCATGCCAGAACATCGAATAGCCGCGACGAGCCGAGGCAAATACAAATCTGCACGTCAATGTTGAATGCATTTTGTGCACAAGCCATGGCTGCACTCGCAACTGCGAGTGTCAGCGGCGAACGAATAGGCCAGCAGTTGTTACATGTGTAATAACGGCGGCTATCGGACCTCATGATGATTGCGTTCCCTCCTCCTCCTCCTCCTCCTCCTCCTCATTCTCTTCCTCATCCTCCTTCCTCCCCACAATCTCTATGACTTCCTCCTATCACCCCTCAATCGAAAAAATTGTTGAAGACGCTCGTCAAGACATTGCACGACGGATTATGATGCGTTTCCCTTGAGCGGAAGCTTTGGCAGAGGCACCACGAGCCACATGCCCATGACCCCGAAATTGCGAAGGCAAATTCTGCCACGCGCCCTTAAGCTGACACTAACACGCACATTGTCCTCTATGGTGTCGAACCCAATCGATTGGGCCGACGTCGGATTCACCAATCACGGTACATCTGACTGTCCGCAAATACGGCGCTTTTCGCCCCCAGCAATTTGAGGTCGCATCCGACGCGCGCACGTTCCAAGATGCTCCGTCTCTCCCTCCTGGCCATGGTAAGTATTTGATATGACCCACCAGTGCGTTGCAGCCCAAGCACTTCACATCCACCCACGACAGCGGGCATGGCAAGAAGACGTTTGGACCGCGACCCCCCCCCCTGGCCCTGCTGCTGGTGCCCCGGGCACTGCATGCGGATCGACGGGCCCAGGAGTTGCCCCAGCAGCGGGAGGCGGCGGCGGAGGTTCCGGCGGTTGGTGGTTCGGGCGGCCCACCGCCGACCCTCCCTCTTTTTCTCCTGACGCCAAACTTTCGTTTAGCTGCCACGCCAGCCCGCCTGAGTTTCCTGGCGAGGGCCGCCCTCGACGTCAGGGAACTCATTTTTATCGTCTGGGTCCATATCTTCGACCACCTGCTCCATCATGAAAATGCTGGGGCCCGACTCGATGCCATCATCATCATCGCCAGTCTCGAAGCAATCAGTCACGTGTTTAGCGAACTCGTTGTCGCCTGGCGAGGCATAACCAGCAAGCGACGTCAACAACTCCTTGGGGCTGTCGCCGTCGGGGCGCAGGCCCAAGAAAGTTACGCACTTCGCGAAGTCGTCCACGTGCAACCCGTTCTTCTTTTGTGATAGTGTGTATTTGATAAGTGATATGTTGTGTCCGTTCCGTTGAAAGACGACGCCATGCAAGGGGTGTCGGCAGGCAGTCCAAGACATTACAGACCAGTCTCTCGCATCAGTAACATGCAACCACGTAACCGGACCGTTACTTAGCGCAAACAACTCCGCGTTGATTGTGGCCACTGGCCACGCCAAGGCACTCCATATTGAATTCCCAAACGACGCAAATATTTCGTTGTCGCTGGACCTGACCACCAAAATACACCGCAACATCCATTTCGAAAGACACGCACTGCATATGTTGACATCTGGCAGGATGCTGCCATCTCGTTTTCCTTGTCTGAATGCGAGTAGCCAGTGCCATGCAGCTGCCGACTTCTGCAAGACAGATTCCGATAGTGTGCTCCAGACTTTGTTTGGGTGCATAATGCGGCTCCAACGCTTTGGCAGTTTGTGGCATTGCGAACGGTGATACTGTCGGTTCGCTCTCGAACGCTTGGAAAACTTTGTGAATTTGGCACACCAATGCGCTCTGACAATGGAAGAAGGCGTCGCGACGCCGCGTTTCTCCAACACGCCTGACTGTTCAATCACCGTCTGGATAGCTGCGCACCGCATTTTTTTGTTCATGTTCCCTTTGACAGATCCGCCGCCGTGCCTGCACGGCCCGCGGGATGTCTGGTAGAGTTTCTGCATCTCTTGTAATGGATCCCCCGCCCACCCACGCGCCCCGCTGGCAGCGTCCACCTGTGTACTCGACGGGGGGTGGCGACCCCCCTCCCCAGGGTTCCCAGGGCCCGCGGGGCGGCGGCCGAATTGCCAGAGGCAAATAGATAATCGCAGCGGCTGGTGCACGTCCTCAACACTTTTGTTGTCAGGTAGCGTTTTCAAGTGGCCCAATAATACTTTGCGGCCCCAGACAGACAGATGCGAGTACATGTCCCGCGCAAACAATTCGAAAACCACCCTTACAGCAGGAACTTGAAGGAAATAGATGTCGTTCCGAAGCCTCTCAGCCATGTCGCGTACAAGCGCCGTCCGCTCCAGCGACAGGAGTGCCATGTGATCGCTCCGCAGCTCACCTGCGACCGTCGCCTCGACAGCCGGGTCCGCCACAATGCCCGCGTACGAGTCCGGCGGGCAACAATGTTTGGACAACGACCACGCCCTTTTCGAAACAATGTGCAACGAAAGCATGAGCGCTTTCGTCGCTTGCTCGCTCTGCCCCACAGGGATACCCATTATTCTCAAATACATCGGATTGCGGAGCGCGAGATCAAAGGTTGCCAACAGGTGCGGTGATGCAGCCCACCCGCCGCGACTCATTTGGAAAACATGATCGGGGGCATCGCGCGGTGTTTTGACGCGGGTAATCTGATCAGTGTAAAAATCCCAGCAGCCTTTCTCGCACACGTAAAGTATGTTTTCGCTCTCGTGCAGAGAAGAACTCATCAGTTTGTAAGCCAAGCGGACGCCACCGCCATGTTGTATAATATGTCGTAGTTGGGCACGTGGGTCATTGGACGTGCCGGCGTTGAAATAATTGGCATCGTCTGGATCTGCTACGCCTTCCAATTGGTCTTCAAATATCATTTTTGTCGGGTAGAAATCACGAAGTTGATGCTCGTTCATTTGCTTATTCCATGCAAACCAGTTCGCTTGCTTCGGTTGCGCCCTCTTCTCAACAAAGGAAGGAAGCTCAAACATCCGTTTCATTATATTGCATGTGTCCTGGTCTGAATCGCACGGCATGCCCCAATCTTGTGCAATGTTGCACATGTATTGTTTGAAAATTGGTTTGTCTATGGGATTCCCAATGGCAAACAGCTCAAGCATTCGTGATTTTAGCGTCCAGTGAGCACTTGAATTGAACGGCCTGTTGTTTAAACCCAGCAGATAGCTGGACCAAAACTTGCATTTATTGTATGTTATTGAATATACCGCCCATGCACTCCTGCTCGGCACCTTTCAGATCACGAATCAGCCTGTGCACTTTATCACAACGCGCCTCTATCATTTTGCCGAGGTGGATTGAGGCAAACAGAACGCCAGCGGACCCGACGCTCCTTTGGTCCAGTTGCAATCTACACAGCATCACGTCCGTCACGTCCAAAGGTAAGACTTCGTGCTGCTGGCCTGTAGCGGTGTTGGTAATGACGTGCAGGTCCATGCCAGCATTCGGTATGACTTCCCTGACCTCGTTGTTGGATACCGCTCGCAAGTTTGAACCGACAGGCGGATCAAATGAATCCAACGTCAGGCGCTCTCCTGAAAGTAAAGATATTTGATGAGATAAACTCTGCAATTGTCTGAAAGACGCTACCCTCTCCAATTTGTTTTGCGCGCGCTTCTCTTCCACAGAGTCAAGTAAGTCCGCCTCGCCTGGGGCAAGAGCTTTTCCTGGCACCAAGTGAGCCCACTTCGGATAACAGCCCGCGTTCAATTCCCAGGAATACATAAGAGAAACGAGGCATTCTTTGTACGAGTGCGTGCCTGGATCGGAGACTATGTTCCAGTGGTGGACGCCTCCTGCTCCTGCCGTACCAAAAATCAATTTGTTTTTGCGTGATACATATCGAGTGCCATGCTCGACCATCTCTGGCCCAAGCCTGCCGAACATCCGCCCAACTCGGCGCCGTCGCTCTGGAGGCCGATCGCCTTGTGGATGTCTGTCTTCGCAGCGCGAGCCCTCTGCAAAATGTCCCAAGCGGCCTCGGCAGATACGGAGGTGTACTTGCGCCGTGCATCCGGGTCCCGGCGCAGTCGGAGCGCAGGGGGTGGCCGAGCTGCTCGGGCAGTTTCGTTTGTTGCAAAAGCTTTAACGAAATCGTCGACATGTTTCGGTAACTCGTTTAACAAGCATTTGATGGCTACCTGGAGCGCGGCGTGCGCATGCACGCTGCGCTTGTGCCGGGCGCGCCTCCGCCGTCGCATAGTTGTTGACACGAAAACGATCGCATTTGCAACGTTTTGCGTATCTGCGTTGAAACTCGAAACGACAGCACCTGAATCCAACATAGTCGACCACTCGTGTTCCAACATTTTACAAGTCGAAGCATGCCCCCGCCTTAAGAATTGAGGGAACCCAACGTAGTGACAGTCGGGCCGCATTTGGACCAAGCTATCCCCAGGCAGCCTGATTTCGAATGTCTGCAACGGTGGAGTCGACCTACACATGCGTGAAATTGCTTTTTGAATGTAGCCGAGTGATACCGTTGATGCCACATCGCAACACACGTCAACCGATATGAAAAAATGTGTACAGCCCCAGCGTGGTGCAAGCGTTAGCGTGAGAACGTCATCGCCGATGGGCTCACAATTGTTTGCAAAGTGCACGTTACCAGCGCAATTATAATCTTCGAGTTTCGATCGTAGCCACAACAACCAATGCCTCCGTTTCATTTGCATTGCCCCCCCCCTTCGAAAATGATTGTGGATGTAATCCAAGTCCCACCAAACGAGGCCATTATTGTGCAGCCATGCTTGCGGACTGGGAGCGTCGTCGTGGTCAATACTTATTCGGGTGACGTCGCTTTTCATCAACATTACGTCGTTTCTGCAATGATCCTTGCGGGAAGAAAAAAAATCCACACCGCTTGTATTGTTCACGGCTTGGCCCAAATGCCACTGGAAGTGGAGCGAGGAGGAGGAGGAGGAGGAGGAGGAGGAGGAGGAGGGCTCCCTGAGGGCTTCGGGGGCCCAAGAGGGCCCCCAAAGAACCCCTGAGA